GCTCGCGAGATCAATCTCTTGATCGTTGCATCGTCACGCATGAAATAAGCTTACATAAAATCCACGAGTGGTATATTAATAAGTGAACGGTATCGGTTGAAGAATTATTAAAAATGTCGAAAATTTCTCGACGAAATTTTACATTACGCGCACGTGCTTTTGATACAAACATTCTTAAGTATTTTCGCTTGTTCACAATCAACGCGCGTAAATTCGCGATTGTAACGTCGGCGCGATTACAAACGTTTCCTCGCAAGTCGGCTTGTAGATGGTAGAGTCGTGCTTCGGCGGCGACGCCGCGATTATCGCGGTTGTTCGCGACGTTAAATGCTTTTAGACAGCAGTTCGAGCAACGCTAATGAAGTTGTCTGGGATTATACGAGCATCAGTGAGGAACTGCAAGAACGTAAAGGAAGGGTTGTCCACGCATACGTCACTTGTCGAGATCCACGGCGAGTACACACGGCGCCTTTGCGCACCTTCGACCAATCTTATCGCCGCGTCTCGCGACAAATGAACCGGCCATTAACCGACTTGTCCGCGTCACGCCCGTTGTCCTTCTTCCCTTCGAACGAAGCTGGAACGTGGCTGAAGCTGGAATCCAATTAGGGGGCTCTTGACTCTTCTCGTATCAGACGGAGGCCCCACGTACGGTATCTCGCATCAGTCACCTGACGTCCAACCGCCGGACTTAATTCGGAACGGTCGAAAGACAATGCGCGCTCCGGCTTCGAGTGATGGATTAGGTATTAAATGCTTGTTTTCACAAGGATTAGGTGGATGTACTGACCTGCCGAAGAGCACGTCGACCCGGCCTTTTTCAAAACTTTGTTGATCCACGCTTAGTTGAATTGCTTGAATTTGCACGGAAATCATATTTTTTTAGAAATACTCTCTCCTAAAAATATTTTTCTGGCTATATATTTGTGATTTCCTGAGTCGAATTTTTAAAGTAATAAAAAGAAATTTAAAATAATAATGGCAAATGTGAAGAAAAGGGCAAGTTTAATAGAAACAAATTCAAGAATTTGAATAAGATTTCATATACAAATTAATCCTAGAGATATTCGAATAATGTTATTGTCAAAATATAAAATATATAATAGACAAGCTTATTAAAGTATTAGTAATTTAAAACATATTTATTTTTGCTTTCGAATTTAATTATTAAAAGACTTTTGATGTAGAAAAAAACATGAAATACGTATAATAGAGCAACCTATTTAGAAATTGTGAGTTATGCATGATATCCAACTCAGAAAATCTTTCAAATAGCTACGAATTTCTTAATAGCAGCCTCCGGCCAAAGGAATGGAACGTTTTCGTTCTCAGTTACGTCGAAATACAAAAAAATAAAATCAGAGGAAGCTTTTTCATCGTTCCTTGTGCGCAATGTGGTAGCGATGTGGAAATACAAGATGTCGGTTCAGCGACAATGTTAGACAGGCTGCGTTAAGTCCAGCCTAGGGCAGAGACGGACACCTTGTAATTTCGTGTTCTTTGGATTGAGAGCCGCGCGCCTACCGTGTGATTATCAACGTCGCATTAATCGGTCGGTAGGCTTATTATCATACGTTCGGTTGGGTTTGATTACGCGACTCTAAAAAGAATCTTCAGCGATGCGAGGCGGAATATACGCGCGCGCACCGCCGCAAAGTGCTACTTTGCAGCAGTTTCTGCCGCTACCGCGCACTTTGCGCGTACGCCTCGGTGTTAAAAACCATAACCCTAGCCTCTCTAGTTTATCCTCTTGTAACGTGAGCTCTCGCGGAACGGAGCGAGAGAAAAAGTGCATCCATAAAATAGTACCTTTGATTTTTCACGCGCAAAGTTACATCTCGCTCGTTTGACATCGCGTCGCCTCAATCGACTGTAATTAATGATGGCAGCTCGTAATCGTGGCTAAAACGTCTCTATAAATTATTTATTGCGCACTATATTATGCGTCGATGCACTGCACGACAGTTAATTTGTACCGTAATAGAAGTGAGGTTGAGATCAATTGAGAAAAATTTTCCATTTATATAGAATAATTGACAAAGAAATTTATATATAGTAGAGAGAGAGAGAGAGAGAAAGAAAGAGAGTACACACACACACACACACACACACACACACACACACACACA